GAGTGTTGCTGTCTTTAAGCACTCCTAAATTAACATACTTCCCACTCATCTTCCTTTAATTTCAGTTAGACTGGGTTTTTTTTTGTCCTTTGTTCATTCTTTTTGATCCCTGCCATTATCACATTTACTGTGGATTTCCTACTTCAGCAGCAAAACCAAGTGCAGAATCTCCAGATGATGTGAATGTAGGCAATTCTCTCTGCTTTCTAGAGTTTTCTTAAATGAAGCAATTTATATGTCAGCGATCCAGTGAGACTCCCCATTTCATTCAACACTCAGAAACAAAGTTAATCCAACTAAGAATTTATTAAAGAAGTCATACTGGCACATCTAGGAAAACCCGAATCTGAGAGTTTTGGGTTTTTCCTTCCCAACTGAAAATTCAAAACCCACCCCCTGCAACCACCAGACCATCACATGGCCCAATCAACCATCGTCCCAACTGGAGACATTCCTCCAACCACTCCTTTGCAGGTGCAAGATAACTTATCCTTGACTTTATGAGAAGAATGTTCTTATGTCTAATCTTCCAGCTCTTCATGAAACCCCCTCTCCCAAATTCCCAGGCAGTAAGATGTGGCAGCTTGGAACTTCTGAATGAAATATGGCTTCCACAACTGAATAATTGCTATACTATATATATATATATTCAAGATATTTTAGTTGAAGTTTATTGACATCTGGAATCAACAACCATTTCATGCAAAATAGTGACTGAAACATTGATTTAATAGAGGCAGGATAAAAATATCTATAAATTGGCTCCTTTCTTGCCAGTAGCTGTACAAATTGCCATGGCTTTCTTCCCAGATGGTTTTTTTTTTGGTCTTTTCTTAAAAAAATGTTTAACTGTCTAAGATGCTCAGCATTCTTGATAGGTTGGTCCTCTCTAGATTGGGCATTCTATGTGCTTCATGATAAAATGGAAGGACATTTATTTCACGTTTCACTTTTTATGACATGATTTACATTACCCTTGTAAAACACTGGTGGCTTGCTACTGGATATTCAGTTCTTGATATTTCTACTTTGTAATAACCTCAGATAGCTGGGATAAGAAACATGTCTGCCTTAAAAGGCTGACAATCTGCTAGTAACTCAAAGAAATAGTACTTGGTTTGATGAAGTAGAGATGTGACTTGACATAAGGAGACTTCATATATTTGTTCATTAATGTGTACTGAAACCACAGCCCTGAGAACAGAGACAATTCTAGTTAGACAGCGAGAAATGTACCGGGGGAGTCTACCACCCTCCAGGCTATGGACATGCACAAAATAGTTTTGGATAATTATTGTCGCCACCTCTGAGAGACAAAGAAGGCTTCCTTTCAGACTGCATTCAGTCTCAACACAAGGCTCCTTTCCAACTTTTTCTCTTCCTTTAAATTCTCTAAGCAAAATCTACCACTGAATCAGGAAAAAATCTGCCTCCCTGATCATCTCTTTCAGTTGAGGACTTTCCGCCTTTATCCCAGGTTTGCTAACACTATTTCCTCCTGGAAAAGTTCATACCTTTGCATTCTTTTTCTCTTCAGCATAAGCTACGTTTTAAAAATGGGACCATTTATCAGATTTGGGGACATGGCACCTCATTTTCAAGAATAACATTATTTTGGTTCTATCATGCTTGCAGATACCTCCATTTGATTGTCAGTAATGCTTTGGTTATATATAGATTGACCTTGAATAATGACATTTGTGGTTATTTAGTGTAAGAATATAAGAATAACCAAGGTTCACTTTAGTTCAACATTTTTTTTTCCACAGTAGTCAACTGGGTAATTCTGAGTTGTGTAGGAAATACATGTGCTCTTTCTCTCTCTCTCCCCTCCTCGGATGGCATACACACTATTTAAGAATTTCTTTAGCACATTGCTGGCGCTTCAAACTGAGCGAAAAGTGGATTAAATACATTTCTCTGAGAACCTATGCTTCCATTTTTGTTGATTTTAATTTGTTTAATTCCACCCCAGTGTTTTTAATAAGCGACAGCTGCAAGGGTCAATCTGTAAAGAGGTCATGTGCCTATTGATTGCTTTCACTTTATCACACTGACATTAATGCTTGTAGTCCTCACTTTACAAGCCTAATTGGGACAAACTTCCATAGCTAAGCAATGTGGTTGCTAAGTGAAATATCAGATGACAGTTTGGTTTAGTGATGTCAGTTCCAGCAATCCCAGTTGCTGTTGTTGAGCAAATCCTATGCAGTGGTTAGATGAGGACTCATTTCTGCTCCAGACTCAAACCATTTTTGGAAGAAAGTGGGATTGCCTTCATTTTAGCACCCACCTAACTCTCAACATCTCTACCCATTTGGCCATCCACTACCTACTGCCACCAGCTTCCCCTGCCACTCAGTACTGCGTTGAGAATTATTCAATGCCATTGTAAATTTGAACTGACACCGAGTGAATGGACGTTAAATGAGGATTACTTGTAGTTCAGTAGGCAAGTGCCTGATTGACCTTGATCCTATCTTTAAATAGATCTATTCTCTACCCTGCACTCCTTAAGCTGTATGCTTGAATTGATGAGGCAAGAAATGTGCTTGAGGGATTAGTGCCATCTGGATAGACTGGCATAAAAATTGTGTTGGTGGGCAGGGGGATAATTAATGAGCTATATTCAAAGAAACCAACTCTAATACAGTTAAAATGACAGAGCAGTTTAGTTACTGTTTGTTTAAGCTGCAGTGAAAATTGAATGATTCAATACTCAGAGAATGGATATATATATTTTCTGTTAAACTTTTGGCCCTAGGAAATGGTCCCAAGGCATATGATGTAACAACCTAAGCACAGCTAGACTCTGTGCCTAGTGAAGAATGCTTACAAGTTTACCTCTGTCTACGTTATGAAAGGAAAATAACTGAAACATAAGAATCGGCAAATACATTTGAATTATTAAAGCATATTGCAGATTCTTACAGAAGGACTGCCATCGTGAGTGTGGTTAACTCTCACCCAGTTAACAGAAGGCAAACTGGCTTGTGTGTTTCCTCCCCCTAGGTCTCTGGAATGACCTATGCCACCCAAATTGCTTTATCCTTGTTTTATGTACATGTGTACCCTTCCAAGCAAATAATCATCAACTGACAGACAGCTTGTCCTGTAACTGACAGACAGTTTGTCCTGTTGTCTTCTAGTTTTCTATCCATGATGTAACTAATCTAAATTCTGCATTAGAAAGATGGGTCTGAAGCACTGCAGTGGCAAAATCATGTGAAGGGTGTAATGGAAATTACCTATTTCTTTGTTGGTGCTATGCTGTCCAAAGCCACATCCTCTTAACCTCATATTACTGCAAAGAAATAATGATAATAGAGTTAAAAATGATTTTAAAGAGAAAAAGGTATTGTTTAATTGGGCTTTTCTTAACTGTTCATAGACTTACATATTTATCTATGAAAGCTAATTTGGGACAAATGTCTCCAGAAGGAGAATTCTCTTCATGTTTGATTCTTCCCAGGAAGTAAAAGTATACCTTGCAGTTCATGTTTTTAACCATACTTTTCCTGGTAAATGACCTTGGCTGTAGGTCATGGTTTCTAATGACAGAGAAATGATGTCCTGAATTGGGATTAGCCAAACAAAGAAATAAAAAAAAGTAGAGGATGAATCTTTTATTTGATCTGTTCTTTTAGTTACAATTTTACGCTGTTGTATCCTTCTCAGAATCCTTGGATTGGGGTGTGCTATAAAAAAATAAATGCATAATAAGATACAGAAATGGCAACATGCTCCAATTTGTTTTGCTTTTCTGTTTTTAAATTATTTCCATCCTGATAGTGCTGGAATCATGTTGGTTTCTTTTTAGTTGTGGACTTGCATAAATATTTATGGTCAAATTTGAGATTATGCTAAGCACATGGTGGACCTGGGCTGCTTTTCATCTAATTCTGAAGAAGTTTGTAGAACCAACAGAGCCTTGACAATATAACTTTATATTTATTTTCCTGTTGGCAGTAGCCAATAATATAGAAGAGAAACACATATTGTGATGACTTAAAGCTATTGCCAATATTAAAGCTGTCTATTTGCCAATTCATGGGAATGTCATGCAGATTTTTAGGAAAAGGGATGGGTTTGTTACAATGGCAATTTTTTATTTAAATCATGGATCAAAGATCTGTTTTGATTACATATCTTTCATTCTAACCACTGGACAAATTAAATAAAGGATCTTATTATCTCTTTTATTGTAACTTGCATTGAGGCCTGATGCAGGTGTTATATTGATTCATTTTTAATTATGCCAATATGATTACAAGCCAACCCTGCACCTCTTTGAGGAAAATGGGCACTACAGAAATGTGAAAAATAAATAAATGAACCTTTAGATTGTGCTGCTGCTGCCTTTCTGTCAATTCTCTTTCTTAAATGCAGATGATCTTCGACTTAAAATTGAGCCCAAAATTTGTTGTTAAATGAGACATTTGTTAAGTGACATTTGCCCCATTTTGCAACCTTTTTTGCCACAGTTGTTAAGTGAATCATTGCAGTTAAGTTAGTAAAATGTTTGTTAAGTGAATCTGGCTTCCCCATTGACTTTGCTGGTCAGAAGGTTGCAAACGTTGATCACATGACCCTGGGACACTGCAACCATCATAAATATGAGCCAATTGCCAAGCATCTGAATTTTGATCACATGGCCATGGGGATGCTACAGTGGTCAAGTGTAAAAAATGGTGATAAGTCATTTTTTCCAGTGCCGTTGTAACTTTGAACAGTCACTAAACTGTTGTAAGTTGAGGACTACCTGTATATCTGCACTGGATATAATTGTGGTTAATTTTGTCCAGGTAGTCCAAATAATTATGATTTGAAACCAAAGTTTAAAGTTGTTTAAAAAAAACATATCAGTGCATAAGTCCCCCACTCCCCCCGATAGATAACAAGTGAATGGTTGACTTTTTAAAAGGTTAATACAGTATTTTGTTCTTAATTAAAATGCATACTTCTTGTTTATGTTTCTTGTCTACACTTTTTGTCCCCAGAGGTGACAGCTACTTACCGCACACCACTCTACGGCCGGCCTTCATGGTGGGGAGAAGATGATGCCAACAATAAACTGGATTCAACAGGTGACAGAAGGCCAGAAGAACAATATTCAGGTCAGTATAGCTTAGCTCCCATTTAGCAGCCAAGTCATGTCTTTCATAAATAAGCTATGAGTTCTAACTTTAGGATTCAACTCTTCCATACTTAGTCAGTTTATCTATCTTGCCCTTATTTATTAAGATACTCCTGTCTTCCATTAGGATCTACAGGTGCATTTATTAAGAAGGAAGGATTGCAGAGAAGGCCATCTCTTCAACACAACATGAGAGTGTGGGCCCACGGAGTGCCCTGACCTCTGCTTATATGAGTGATGTGTCAGTTCATACTGCTTTTCTTAACCCTCAATAAAGCAATTATGTGCAGTTCCTACCAGCAAAACACTGCTTTTTACATGCTGCAAAAACAAAACAAAAACCCTTGTCTTTAGAGCAGAAAAGGGAGATAGTGGGGGAGAAGTAAGATTATAGAAATGAAAGGTATTCCACAAGGAAGACAGAGGGTTAAAAGAGCAAGAGTAGACACAAAGGCAGCTACTGCTACATGGTAAATCTTAGCAGTTCTAACTGGTACTGTCCTGGCTAGATGAATTATGATACATTTTGCTTTTTAAAGAGAGCTTGAAAACTTCCCAAGGAGCAGAAAATGGCTGTCAAAGTAGTAAGAGATAGTGAGCAGTCAGATCATATGATATACATAATTCATCAGCTGCAATTCTTGCCAGTGTATTTCCAATCCCAATTCAAAACATTAGTGTTTATCCCAAAGGTGCTTTTTAAGGAGGAAACTGGACTTTTCTTTGTTTTTCCTTGAAAATGTTTTGCTTCTCATCCAAGAAGTTTCTTCAGTCTGAAGAAACTTCTTGGGTGAGAAGCGAAACATCTTCAAGGAAAAACAAAGAAAAGTCCAGTTGCCTCTTGAAAAAGCATTTTTGGGACAACTATGACTTGGATGACTGAGAATCTCCATAAACATTAGTGTTTACCTTCTAACCTTTAAATGTTTAGGGATCAAGATATATTGCCTTAATCCACATCAATATATCTGTTCATCCACTGAGGCCCTCTCTTGTCTGCCAATCTGTGAGAAAGAGTAGAGTAGCAGGAACAAGTCTTGCATCCGTTTCATGCTTCTGGAACTCAGGATCAGCTGGGTATGTGGGGATCTCTCCTTACAGTCTTTCAGAAGAGCCCCAAAGGAACATTTTTTATACAACAGTTTCTCTGATGGTTTTCTAGGTGTGCTCGTTGGAATTTGACATCATGTCTATTCATTTTAATATTTGTTTTGGATTGGTTTGTTGTTTGACCTGCGTTACTTGTTATGTTATTAAGTTATTAAATTGTGAAATTACTGACTTTTGTGAGTGTTCAACTTAACAGAGAGCTGTTTTCCTCCTTACATAGACAGAACAAAAGACTTAATCCAGCACGAAGAAGAAATCAATGGGAACGTCACTGGCTACAGAGAATCTCAAGGCGAGTCTGTCTACGCATTCCGTAGGGAACCCAGCTACTTTGAAATTCCTACAAAGGAGTTCCATCAGCCAGTAAAAACTCCAGAGGTGCAAGTCCATGAGATCCCCACCAAAGATGTCGACGTGGCAGTGTTACCTGTTGTGCAGAGCCATGCTTCTTTTACCATTGAGTTTGATGATTGCACGCCAGGTAAAATGAAGATAAAAGACCACGTCACTAAATTTTCCCTCAGGCAGAGACGGAACCTCAGCAAGGACGCTGGCCATGTGGAAATTATCTCTGCAGAGAGTAAAGTGGCTGACTGGCTGGTGCACAATGATCCAAGTCTCATAAGAAGGCAGTCTCCCGGAGATGATGTATATAGTACAAAAAGTGATCTCCCTGTTCATGTGAAGACTCTGAAAGGTAAAACCTCTCACTAAAGGAATTGAGGCTCTATGCTTTGTTTGTTACATTTAAAATAATAATAATAAAATTCAGAGCCAGAGAAATTTTGGAATGAAGGATATTGAGAAGAAGCACCATGTAGAAATCCAGACTGTTACAAAAAAGAGGTTCAAACCTCTTTTCCCTTCTGAGAAGGGTAGAGTTAGCATGAGGAGTCCTGTAGGCCTTGTTTCATTGCAAATCAGAGGTGTCAAAATGGCGGCCTGTGGGCCAGATGTGTCACGCCTACCCCGGCTCTGTGAAGGGGAAACAATCATGAAACGTAATGTGATGGCAATGTGATGCCGTGAGTTTGACACCCGGGTTGATGAATTTTCCAAGCATGCTTTGGAACATGATTTGAAGAAACAATCATGGGTTTGGTGATGACTCGTAACAAATAATATGAATGGGAAAACATAGGAAACTTACACATTTTATGGATTCCTGCATTATAGGGAATTTCTAGTAAAAAATGTCAACAAGGTGTTTCTTGGGTTTAATGTATTTTTCATACCAGTTGATTTATCTCTTTAAAGTAATACATTTGTTGAAAGGAAGAGGCTTTTCAGGTCACAATTTCAAATAGTTTCATTAAAAAAAGTCTTTAAGATGTATATATATTTTAAATGTATATGTTTTCTTATGTTTTTGCGGGTATTTATATGTATGGTATTTAGGTTTCTTCGGGTATTTTCCCACGTCTTAATATTTGTGCTTTTATTATAGCGATGTTTCGGCAGAATCTCATCTGCCATTCTCAGGCTTGTGTATTGGGTTCTTTTTAATCTTGTGTGTCAGGCTTAGCAGCTGTTTTTTGTTTTTTACTTGGGTGAATAGTGAAACCACATCGAAACTTACTAGCAGGTCTCTTTGTTCCACGTGTAGATTTTTGATCATTTCTAAGTGATATGAGTTTTGTACATGTGAAGCTGCTGCTTCAGCATGGGGCTGTAGTTGTTTTGCTAGGTATTTGGCCAGGTTTTGCAGTGGTGCTCCTGTGGAGCTGACTATGGGTCTTAGAGGTATGCCTTCTTTGGGTATTTTGGGCTGCTAAGCCTGACACACAAGATTAAAAAGAACCCAATACACAAGCCTGAGGATGGCAGATGAGATTCTGCCGAAATGTCACCATAATAAAAGCACAAATATTAAGACGTGGGAAAATACCTGAAGAAACCTAAATACCATTTAAATGTATATGTATATATTTTAAATAAAAACTATGGTTTAAAATTCCTAGTGCTGTATTTGGTAGCCCTTAATAGACAAATATATCCACTACTAAAACTCTCCTGTTTTGTCTGTTTGTAACTTTCAATTGGGTGAAATGGTGCATCACAGGGCAACAATTTTTGAATCGATGTATCTCAAATGGACTCCCTTAAATAATATGTCTGAAATCCCCTTGGACTGAACTTTGATAAAGTTGTGGCCATTTCAGTATTGCCATGCTATCACAGTCACCTGTGGTCATGTCATCATTTCTAACATCCCTGCATGCTTTTTACAAGTGGGGAAGCCTAAAGAGTGCTGAAAATTGCTCCCCATCTCACTGATTTTTTTTTGTCTGCCCATGGTAATTCTTTTTATCTGTTTAGGTAAGGAAATTTCTCTGAAATGAGGACCCAGTAAGTCCTGGGTTGTCTAAACCTAAAGGAAGGGGCAAGGGGACATTACTAATGTACTGACCTAGAAAGGAAGCATGTCTTACCCTTGAACAATCTGATCTGTGTTCCTGTTCTTTAGGTAACAGACACGAAGATGGAACCCAAAGTGACTCAGAGGATCAAGTAGTACCACCTAAGCCAGAGAAAGAGACAGTTAGCAATGAGAATATAATGGAGCAAGCCAAACTCCAGCGCCAAATTCGACGTGATCCCCAGGAAATGCTGCACAACCAGCAAGCTTTTGTCATTGAGTTCTTTGACGATGACATGCCTCGGAAGAAAAGATCACAGTCTTTTACACACAGTGGCCATTCTACCCAAAATGAAGTCGATCCCACCCTGAAGACGAAAGTTGAAAAACGCAAAATTACAGTGCCAGCTGAGAAACCAGGAAGTTCTATGCCCTCCCAACATCCGCCTGCAACAGGAACCAAAGGGCCAAGCAATGCATTCACCACTCCAAGAGCAGGCTCCTTCAGAAGGGAGAAAGCAGATGAGCGGATCAGCCCTTCCTCATCCTCCACATCACGAACACCTGTAAAAAGTCATGGGAGTGTTGGAAGAAAGTCAAAATTAGCTCAAGATTTTGCTGCTGAATGTTTAAGGGAAAGCGCTCAAGCGACTCAGCCCAACATTGAAAAGCCCCCTCCTGTGCCAACACCACTAAATTCACGGACAGTAATTGTTCCAACAGCACCAGAAACAATTCCTCCACCAATTGCTGATCCTAAATTGGCCAAAGCTAGGAAACAGGAAGAGGAAGATAGTTTGAGTGAAACAGGCACTTACACTATTGAAACCGAATCACAGGATAAAGAAGTGGAAGAAGCTCGAAAAATGATTGATCAGGTAACCTCATATTTATTAGAAACAAAAGGAATTAGTGCATCTTTATCATTTGGAGTTTCCTAACCAAAACTTTGGGGTAAGAGTGGTAAGGCCTGGTACATCCACTAAAGTGCTGCTGACCAACTAAATTAATAGAATTGATAGTCTTTCCTTGGGCCCTCTTGCATTTGCTCATGAGTTTACTTGCTCTTGCACTGCAATAAATAAGGAAAATTCTAAACTGGTTTTCTTTTTATCAAGCTTGGTTTGATAGCAACCAAACCCTTCTTTGATGAAAACCCAGATTAACTTTGTGCAACTAAAACTATTGGGAAAGCCACCCTTAAGTAAGGCATTAATGGAGAACGGTGTTAGGAATTGATAGTCACTTAACAGTTGGGTTGGAAATATATAAACTAGGATAGACATTTAATACTGTCTCTTTAAGGGAATGCTAAAATTGTAATTGGGTGTGGTTCCTCAAACGGCCAAAGGATTTGTGTATGTAAGAGACAAGGAGGTGGGATCATACAAACCCTGTGACTGAATCCTGATCTGATAATCCTGACTGAAAATGTCATGTCTGCACTGGAACAAAAAGTTGCAGTAGCTAAGTCTTAATTCTAATGTATAGCAGGGAAGGTGATATGCTTGCCTTATCAAGGAAATGGGTGGCAAATAATTCAATAAGTAAGTAAATAAGCTTGATTAGGGGTTTGTATCTTTTACACAAAATTAAAAAAAATCATTGAAAGGTAGAAGGGTATTGGGGCTGTGTTGTGTTATATGCAATATTCAAAAGAGCTGAATTTCTATTTTTCTTAGCTAGGCTTATGCAACTTGTAACTTTCCAGTCAAATGTGACTGTTCAAGCATCTTGACCTGCTGATGCTTTCTGCTGGTAGTCAAAAGATACAATGCTGTGCCACTAATCTCACTTCAGTTAGGGAACAATGCAAATTTTAAAACAAGCTAGGTTAAAAAAAAGTGGGAAAGTACTTAGAAACAGGGCACTCAACCAAACTGCAATCAGTAGACAAACAGCCTTATATCCTATTTCTAGATATATAAAAAGTTATAATTAATTCTTAATTAATTAGTTAGTTAATTTCCATGCAAGTAACTGCTTTCCAGGGAATTCAGCTATGAAGAGAATTTGGTATAGTAGCTACAATAAGTTAAAACTACATAGGAACTGGAATATCGTGAGTATTAGGCCACTCTTTGGCACGAAAGCCTGCTGAGTGGCTTTCAGCCAGTGACTCACTCAGTCTACAAAGTTGTTGTATGGAAGGTGGGATCATTTTGCATGCCGCCTTGAGCTGCACCAAATAAGGGTAGGAGGTTGTAATTACAATAGCTGCTCTCCCCCTCAGAGAAGTGTCTAACTTTCCTGAGATACAAACCATTGCCACGCAAGAGATTTCATTTTCCTTCATCATCCCCACATGATAATGTTATCTAGCATGGGAATGATATTTGCAACTATGAAATATAACTAACAATACAACAGGCTAACTTTGAATTACGTGCATTCTCCTGTGTATGTGTGTATATTTTCTTATGGCTTATTCAAGAAACCCTGTGAACTATTATAGCAGTTTTGCCTCTTTGGGGTTTGATCAATTTGGCCTTGCATGAACTGCAAGAATAGGGGGATTGTAAACATCTAGTTGGACAGGTACATTCTGGTTGATAATGGCAGGCTGGGTAGACATGTATTGTGTAATAATTAATAATCCAGTATCAATTTGGAATGCATTTTGCTATTCTAAACTAATGCTTTCTTATGCAAAAATAGATAAAATATGGTAAAAAAAGATGTGAAAGGAGCAGGCACCCTGATGATCCCTCATAATTTAAATTACAGTGCCGCTTTTATATTCTCCCATCATCTCAGCCTAAGGATTGACAGTGGTGGACCTGGAAGCTCAAAATATCAGGAAGGCCGTTTGCCTTTTCCAGTTTTTCCATGGTGACACATTTCTCTGATTCATTCCATATTGGACTAATAATTGCAAGAGTAACATCCTTGTCACCTGATAGCTGCCTGATTGAACCTCATTTGCTTGCTTCTGGCCTTCCAGATCTTGACATGCCAAGATGAAAAAAATCTGCAAGAAAGTGACTCTCAACCTGTTAACCTAGAATTGAAGATGAATCGGTATGAGGATGTTAAGGAGGAATTTGTTTAAGCTTCCTTTGTCTTTCTCGTTACCAGGTTTTTGGTGTTTTGGAGTCTCCTGAATTTTCCAGAATTTCTTCAACCTTCAGGCCAGTTATAAAAGGTGAAAAAGAAGAATTAGGGCACAATCATGTGCTTGGGGAAAATGGCTCAACTCCAAAGGTGACAATGATGCAGGTCATTGCGTCCAAAGTGGCAAGTGGTCATCATGCAGATATGCAGGTACAGTGGATATGTATCAATAGAATCTAACTTCTTGTTCACCTGCACACTTGGCCTGAATGTTTAAATGAATAGAACTGCAATTAATGTTAACACAATTTTTAAAGAATGTTTCCTTTTGATGTAATTGATGGTAATCAAAAGCTTGAATTTACAAAAGTTTGGATTTACATATAACTTACAGTAGGATGTTTTGTTGATGTTACACAGGTAAGTAATATCTTTTTGCCTCAAAAAGTGCACAAAATGGATTTGTAGTTAGAGATGCTTGAAATGATCAATTACAAAAAAGAAACAAATATATATGTGAGCTGCCTAGACTAATGTGCAGATTGGAATGTGTTTAAAGTGGGTTTTTACCTTTTTGCAATACATTGCACAGGTTGTTTTTTTTTTTAAGCTAATTTAAATACATAGCCAGTTATAAATTCTAGGAAAAAGTATTTGGAAATATAACCTCCAGTGTGCAATTTATTGCAGAAAGTGAATAATTCTAATGGATTAGAATTAACCCCTAATTTTTTGAAATGCTCTAATAACCTTAAAATATTTAAGACTTCAGGTCCATATCCACTTACTTTGGAATAACTCAATGGGTCTTATTTTTGAGTTTATGTACAGAGACTAATATTTTTAATTGCATTCTTTTACATCTGCATACCCAGAAATTTCATAGCAGTGTAAATCAATACAAATGTCTGTACTTTATAACCAATCTATGTTAATATTACAGATACAAGATAATTTCAATAAACTAAGTCCACCCCTTACATTACTTCAGTCTTCTATTATTTTAAAACTAAGGTTTTGATCTATGGCTGATTTTTTTAATATAGAATTTATTACTTTGATGCTAATATAAGTGTACTGATTTGGACTTTTCCAGCCTAGGTTTGAAATACATGATTTCAATGTTTAAATAAATATGATATTAATAAACGCTACTAGAGAGTTCTTGTTGACTTTTAAAGGTTCTTACCATTTTGTAACTATCATGAAATACAAGCTCATATTTGCTCTTAGACTTCAATTGCTATCAGTAATCAGTTTGATTCTTATATTCATTGCCTTGGATGAAGAAGTCGGGAGCAATTTTGGAGTACCTAGAAAAACATGAAAGGAGGAGCGAACTGAAGAGGGATTGAAGAGGAAAAAAAATCTTTTCTCCACTGAAGCTTCCACTGATCCCTAACTTTCCTTCAAAACTCAGATCTGAATCCAACAAAGCAGTTACTTATGAATATCTAGCTAGAGTGGAATTTTAAAATGCCACACTAAAGTTTGGTTAATCTTGTTTTAACCATGTCACATCTTTCTCCTTTTGCAGATGTCATCTTCAGCCCAAAGCAGCCAAAAATGGGTCTCAAGATGGGCAAGCCTTGCAGATAGCTACCCAGGCTCAGGTTCTGCCCCTGTAGCTGGGGAGGCCGAGCAGGGTTCCTTCTGCCAGGTTAGCACAGGTAGGTAAAGCAACTGATGTCATTCTCGCATTTCAAAAGGTTTTAATTGTATAAAATCCCCTTGTTTCTGTACCCATTTTCCATTGTTTTAAATATAGGTTTATATTCCAAACTTATAATTCAATGTTCCTAAACTGGTTATTTTTGCTGGTAAGAATTCTTTTATATAGGAGGAAGTATCAAACTATGTGATACCTGAAGAACTTCCCCCATGTCCAAATGTGAGTAGCTTCTGCTTTGGAATTCAAATTGGCTAGTAATGCAAAACTTTCAGTATGGAAGTGATATGATCAAAGTAAACTACTTTACGGGTGTATTTTGTATCAATGTAATTTTTTCAGCTCAAGGTTTATTTATTAGTTTAAATTTATAGGTTGTCCATTTGTCAATAACTCTGGTTGTCTTACAAGAATTAGCATATATTACATTGCAATATTTTAGATGGAATGTAGATAATTTAAAAATGGGCACAGTTGACACACTAAATTAAATGCCAAGTTTTCCTTTCACAGCATATAGTTAAAGCAGCTAGCCCATGCTGTGAATCAGGTTTTTCAGAAGAATGTAACTTATTCATGAATCATTGCATTCCTTTATAATATAGGATCCCTACTGACAACAAAATCTCCATTGTTTCTTGATTCAGCCTCAGGTTATTCATCTCTGCCATCTCACCATCTCATTTAGCCAATATTAAAGAGTATCAATCAGCCATTTGGAGTTAGATTTTATAAAATAGTAGAGATGAGTGTCACTATTAACATTTCACTCCAGAGGACCCTTCCCAATGAGACTACACAAAAACAGGATAGAAATCTGTGGGACTTCACAGGTCCATTATTTGTAGATTCATTCACTTCATAGTATCTGGACACAAACTGATAGAAAAGATTGGAAATGTTGCAATACAATGACTTCAAGTCTCAGTTCTGTCAAGTTGTTCAGAAATATGCCATAATCTATGGTATTAGAAGTTGCCTTGAAATCCGACAGAATTCATTTGATGAAGTTAAGCTTAAAAATATTGTATCCTACAATTTGAGCTTGATGAAATAGCCTTTTCATACCGCCATATTTTACACATGTCAAAACATTTCTGGAAAAGGGAGAGATGAAATACCTTCAAAGCATACATTTTAAAGCAGAATTTAGTTGTTCTCCATGCATCAAAACACTAAACATGGAAACAAGTTTTCTATGTCAGTTCCCTTCTTTCCTGACTCTTCTCACATGTAATGTGATTGAATTTATTTATGAAGCTTTCTGGAAGATTTTAGAATTCTAGAAAACCAGTTCTAAAATCTTGCCAAAAAACTCCATGGAAGGAAGAAGCATATTTCAGTAGTACTTTTCTCTACAGTGGGACAAAGACACAAGGCTAAGTACTCAAGAAAGATAGAGATGACACAAACCTGTCTATCTTTGTATACAAGACATCCTAATTTTTGTGTTTAATGACTGTCTCCCTATCTTTCTCAGAAAAGGATTCTGGTTCTAGAATGGGAGAACCTGAGATTTCAGTGGCATCACGGACCAGACGACTTCTTCCTCAACTCCCTCCAGGTGAAAAATTGGAAAGTCCAACACCAACTGTTTTAATTTGTCATGAGACCTTTCCTGAAGTTTCCCAAAGGAACTTTAGTAATGATTTCAGGGAAGAAATATATGTGGATTCTGATAGTCGATTATTAACTCAGGAAGATTTGGATCCAGATAGCCTTAGTGATGCCAGCAAATCTGATGACGGTATCAACTTGGAAAAAGGTAGAAAAAGCCAAGATGGCACCAAAATGTCTGAACAGAATCGAATAAGGGCCGAAAGTGCAAAGTCTAGAAGTTCTCCGTGTCCTATGCCAAGACTTTCAGGATTGAGAGCATTAAGTGATCCACTGTCAACATCTTTTTATATCGGGGATGAAGCAGAAGAGATTGGGGTTCCTTCAAAGCTTACTTCAAGCATACCTCCTCCTCCTGAAATAGACAAAGAAGAACCTCCTTTCAGGTATGGAAAGACACCTGCCAAAGGAATGAACAATGCCTGTCTTTACTCAAATGGAAAAATGGTTATGTCATTACACCAGGGACTACCAGAACAACAAGCTGTAGCCACAAAAGAAATTTCATCTTTTGTTAGGCAAGAGAGTTTTACCAAAGAGAAGTCAAGCAGCAACATTCCTCAAAACAGGCTACCGCATATCTCAAGTCATCCTCTACTTAAAGATCTTGAGGTCACAAGAGCAAATCGTATGGACTATAATCCTGAGACCCATCTCCTTCTTAAAGACACTGAAACTGCTCTGGCAGCCTTGGAAGCCAAAATTCTTTGTCAAACTCACCAGCTCGATGCTCCAGAAAATCCTTCTGGGCAGTTAGAAGACTCTTTATCTGGAGAGTCTGATGTGGACACTGCCAGCACTGTCAGCTTGGTAAGTGGTAAAAATCTGCCAAGTCACCCACCAAAACAAAAATCGGCGACACCTTTACAGAAAGAGAGGTCATCATCCACATCACCTGGCCAAGAGCAAAATATTCAAGCTAGTGCACGTGACAGGCTTTCAGAAAAACGGAAAGCAATTCCACCTGAGGCTGGGAGCAAAGGTGAAAACGCAAGGCGTTTTCAAGTGAAACACAGTGTAGGAACAAGCGCATCTCAGGATTATACAGATGATGAGAGAAGTAGCAGCCTCCCGTATTTGCCTCCAAATGAAATAGCCTCCTCTGATCAAGAACAACCACCCTCAAGGCCTCTTTCTAAAAAGAAGCCTTTCTCACAGTCAACCAAAGAAGATCACGGCAAGGTAACCACAACAGTGCAAAAGATTCAACAAGTTCTTACCCGGTCAAATAGTCTATCGACCCCAAGGCCCACGAGAGCCTCCAAACTTCGCCGAGCCCGGTTAGGAGATAACTCAGACAATGAGAGTGCCGACACGGAGAAGACAGCAACACATCCTGAAGGAACCACAGCATCTTCCAAGCAACCCGTAGAGGCCAAGAAGCTCTCAAGGCTTGACATTCTTGCCATGCCAAGGAAACGGGCAGGATCTTTCACAGTGCCAAGTGACTCTGAGAGTGCCCCACCAAAGCCAACCTTTTCTGGGCGCAGTGCAGAGTCTTACTATTCTACTCGAAAACCGCTTGTGTCAGAAGCTAAAAATGCTGTTAAGAAAACAGCATCAGTGGTAGCTGCTTCCAAGCAATCTTTCAGCAGGACACGTTCCAGCAGTGTGAAATATGCCTCTACCGCCAGTGAGTAATTGGGTCTTTGCACTTTTTTCCCCTTTATATTTATGATTTTCCAGCACAAATTGCCTAAGTTATGCAAAAGATAACGGAGATGACTCTAACCCCTTGTCATAATATAATCCTTCATATTTTTACTTTTTGTATTTGAATAATCAAAACAGAATTCTTTTCTTATTGATTTATCTCAAATCTCAAATGCTATTAAAATGCAGCTGTCATGTTCAGAGTCACTGTGTCTCCATCCTGCATGTCCAGCCTCTTATCATTTCCATCATACTCTTCTGAATAGCTTCTGAGATAAGGCACTGATAAAATGCTTCTACTTGTGGATAGGAAAACAATGGTTGTATTTCCTCATTATCCTTCTTTTGAATTTTTTATGGCTCATGAAAGTGCCAAAACTGCATATTTTTCACTCAAGCAATTTATGGGAAATCATAAATCTCCCTCCAGTGTCTTCTAAATTAGAATTCTAGATTATACTAGCAAAATAGGTGTGATATAAGTCACTTAGTGAGACAGGTAGCATGTACATTTAATAAATAATAAAAAACTGTATAGCTTCAAATGGCAAGGCAGCTATAATTGACATGGTCTCTTCTGTAGTGGATTATATTCACAGAAAAGACAATTTGTCAGTGTAGCACATTTCATCCGATATGCATGCATAGTTCGAGTCATATCAGTGTAGGATGAGGTAAGCAACGCTATGTTCTCCAGATATTTTGGATTGCACTTCCCATAATTTTTGCCTGTAGCAATAATATCTGGGGCCAATAGGAGTTGACATCCCAAAATTCTGAAGGCACCAAATTCCCTATCCTGAATGTAAAGAAACTTCCTGTCAAGCTGCATTATTTTACTAACCAACTCCTGTGTTTTTTATTTAGCACTGGGAGAAATCGAAAGTATAAGAAATGATTAAATTTGAGGTATCCCAAGGAATGAGTTTGGAACTTGCAGAACCTTTTATTTATAAGTAATTTCAGTTTTTCTCTTGTGAATATTTAAGGCAAGTGCTGTTCAAATGAATTAAAGCCTTTGAATGACACCACATATACACGAACTATATAAATAATAGTGCATATGATGGACAGTAAGGATCCAAAGTTATGGATCATTGTATTTGGGAGCAAAGCTACTTATTTCAATTTTTACCTCAATCTTAATTTTGCCTAATTTCTTTCAAATGAATTGGTTTCTGTCTTCTAGTGTTTTGCAGCAATGGCTAACAAGTTTTATTGTAAAAGTTAAGATTGGGAGTCCACACCAATCATCTCATAACTAATATTTCTATCCTAACTAATGTCCTATAGGTTGTGGACTTTCTATTTCATCTGCATTGACTCTAGTTTGCAGAATGGCAGTTCTACAAGTGTTTCAGCATTCAGTCTTAACTAATAGCCTATATAACATGGTTTTGTCTCTTGTGAATTCATTTTGAGGTGGGTGAGACACAAATAAACATAGATAACTTTAAACCCAGTGTTATTTTAGATAAAGGAACCTCACATAGCAATTCTGAATCATTACTTTCCCAAAACAGATTGCATTGCTGCTGAAGTCTGTAATTTAAAGATATTCTCCAAATCGTTGCTTTTCTAATAGATTTATAGCAGCCATAGAGTTTGGGTGCTAAGGGAGCTGCAGTCCAGCAGCTCTGGAAGTTACAGACAGTCCTCAGCTTATAACCATTTGTTTAGTAATTAAAGATGCAGCAGTACTGAAAAAGGGACTTGTGACCATTTTTCAAACTTTTACAGCCATTGTAGCATCCCCATGGTCATGTGATCAAAATTTAGCCACTTAGCAACTAGCACGTTTTATGACAGTTGTAGTGTCCTGGTATCATGTGATCACCTTTTGCGACCTTAGGACAAGCAAAGCCAATGGGGAAACCAGATTCACGTAATAACTGTGTTACCAATTTAACAATTGCAGTGATTTAGTTAACAACAGTAGGAAGAAAAGTCATAAAATGGGGCAAAACTCACTTAACAGCTGTCTTGCTTAGCAACGGAAATGTGAGGCTCAGTTGTGGTTGTACATCAAGGACTATCTGTACATGGTACAAAAATAAAATAAATGGATTAGTCCATCAGTAAATGCAACCAGTAAATGCAACCATGGAAATTGATTTCGGCAGGCCTTTGCCTTTAACTCTTCATCGTTATGTACAGTGTGAAGGCCACACACAGTCCCACAGATTTAATTATCTTGTATACAACATGCGAGACTACCAAGTTACCCTTCTTGCACAGTTTTCTTTTTCACTCACTGCCTGTTTACGCAGTCAGTAATTCTGAAGTAATTAATTCCCCATTGTTTGTTAACGAGTCTTAATTGCTGGATGATATAAATTAAAATTAAACAAAAAGACTTGGAAAGTTGATGTCGTCTACAGGTTACTGTTCTTTGCGGAGATAAATAGCCATGTAGTACCACTTGTGTCTGTTGCCTTAAGCTTTTAGTTTAATAGAGATTGGAGCTCAGGGTAAAGCCTGAGGAATAAGTTTTATTCCTGAGGAATTCAGGAATAAAAGCTCTTTTGAAAGGCTTGATTTTCATTTCTGGCATCTCAGAAGATGAACACTTAAAATTTCTTCCTAGCAGTTGGACAATTGCTGTAAGTTAATGTAGATAGTATCGAAAGCAAGCTAGATTGGTTAGCTATTGAGGAGTTTCCTGGGCTTCAACATATAGTGTTGCAAGGTGCAGAGTCACTCAATAGTGAGATGGGTGACATATAAATTTAATAAATATAAACAAGGCAATTCAGAATCAAATGGGTCATTCCATAGCAAAAGAAAAAAAAGTATAAACCTTATTTAAAATAAAGGCTTAGGCTCACTGGCTTTCTTCTAAATTTTCTTCACCGCCATGCTGTCCCAGCCGCTATAAAATGCAGACTTAGATTTGAGGTTCAATCTAAAAAAAATTAATTTTTGCTTTATTTTTTTTTCTTTTTGCAGTTTCTATAGTCAATATTTTAGCTGTAAACATACTACTGAGACGATTGAACCATTGTTTTATTAAAACTGTTATCTTCATTTTCAAACCTCTTATAAGCTGCTTTGGGAAGTTTGAAACCACAGAGTAAAAAATAGCAATGCTGAATTGAATACCAATTTAAGGAACCTGGTAGTTTGCTCCTTACCAGCACTGATGCTGTTAGCTAGATTGGGTAATGAAACATCTGCAAGAAAACAGACAAGCTCAGAGATCACCAAGGACCTCTCATTTCATCCCTGAGCTACAAATATTCCCCTTTATTGGAACCTGTAGTATTCCTGACTGTGTAAACAAGCCAACCATTTCTGCTTTTCCTGCTGACCTTAGAGCTACTTATTTGTACTTGGAAATGGAACCATCTGAAATTAAAGATTCCTAAGATGAATACATGGAAGACTAACTTGCCTAATTGTCTCTCTTGGGGCTTCCGTGCATGTTGAGATGAAAAACCTATGCCACGTGTAGAAAAAGCCTACCGTGTCAAAGTTTACGGTTACATATACATCTACCTTGCAAAATATTTTTCATTCATTGATAATGATTAATTTAACTTATGACAACAGACAGATGGGGTGGTGGTGACCATTTTTACCACACATTTCATCACACATTTGTACTTGATCTGATGAATTATTCCTACTGCTTGAGAGTTGATATAAATTGGTTCTTAACCCTATAGGATTAATTGCTTCTCCCTGGTTGTCTGCCTGTAGCTCTATTCAAGTGTTGGCTATATGAGGAATTAGCAAATGTAGAGCGTGGGTCAGTGTGAAACAGCTCATCACCAATATTTTGTGCCCTAACTCTACCCATAATCTTTGCACATTAGATAAAACTTGCAGAAAGGAAACCAGCCAAAGCTTCCTGTACAACAGGAATTGGCAGAATGTGTGCAGTTTGGAATATTGGTTTCTTTCCCAATGCGTATGTCATTGCAATGAAGCCAAGCCTTGTTCTACCCAATTGAGGGTCTGGGGAAAGGGATCCAGTTGAGCATATAATCAGGTCAACTTCCAAATGGAATAATATCTCTTCACTGGGGAGCATGTTTTATCAAGTAATGATGAAAAACATTAGCAAGTGACCACCAGATGATTGGAAATAAACCATATGACAGATGTGTGATAAGTGTGTGATAATTGGGTCATCTACATCCATTCCAGCTAAAGTGCAAGCTATTTGATTTTCACCTATTAAAAATCTCTTCCATCCCATGGTATGCACAGAAGTTTTCTTATCTCTTCTTTTCTTGGGCTGATTGCATTTGTGTTATGGCTTTTTTGAAGTCTTGTCTTTACTTTTCAATTTTTTCTTCCTTACCACCACCTAAAAACCAATTCATTTTATATAAGCTTCGAGGCGGCGGCATCAGGGCTCAGATTATACTTCCACTTCCGAGGAGGAGTATGGCTCAAATCACAGTTCCCCTAAACACAAACGCTCCCATACCTCAACAGCCACCCAGACTCCCAGAACCCGCGGCTCCGGGTTGAATAAACAGAAGCATAGCAACAGCCGAGAGATGGAAGATGAAGATGATGGTGAACAGGATCCCTACAGTTTCATTGTGCAGACTGCAGAGATAGCAGAAATAGCCAGGTGAGACAGTTTGGCAAAACTTTGAGCAATGGATCAAATAGTGGGAGTGGGCCCAGATGAGAAAGAATTACATTGAATCCAAAGAGAAACTACTCGTGTTTTTTCCGAAAATAAGATAGGATCTTGTTTTCTTGGACCCCAAAATAAGCACTAGGGCTTATTTTGGGAGGGGTCTTATCCCCCCCCCCCAATGTACAGGAGGCCCTCTTCTTCTGCTTGCTTGCGGTAGGGTAGGAGGCCATGTGGTGCCACTGCCACGAGGCAAGCGGGTGAAACTGCACCACACACCCTGCACCAGCTTACCTCAGGGCCCTGCAGCCATGCCTCGACACCTGCCTTGTGTTGTGACCACGGCATCAACATGCCACTTGGCCTCTATTGCATCCGCAAGCAAGCAGCAGTGGGTCCACAGGACATGGGCTCCAGCACATGGCTGATGGTACTGCTGTTGCAAGACAATTGTCTTGGCCTGGCTGCGAGGGCCCTGAGGTAAGCTGGTCTGGGGCACATTGGGCAGCTCCATCACCATCCTGCCTGGCCTCATGGCCATGGTACTACGAGCAACCAGATGAAATGGGCAGCTGGCCGGCTGCACAGGCTCTTAAGTAGGGCTTATTTGGGGGGTAGAACTTATATTGGGTGCGCATTAAAACATGCTAGATCTTATTTTTGGGGAAACAGTAGTTTGGCGTTAAATGAACCACTATGGTAAGAGTGTTATACAGTGATTTTACAGCACTTTTTAGCATTTGTTTTAGTGGTGCCTCATATCTCCTACTATCGACAACACAAGCTTGTCATAACTGAGAACTGGTTCATGTTACCATGCCTATCAAAAATAACAGGAAAAAGAAATTGTGCTTTTCCATTCAGCTGCTGCTTCAGAAGTGCAAAATAATCAGCCCTGTGCATCTCCCACCCAAGAATGGATAGCCTGTGTTTTTGGCAATCCTTGGGGCTTCCACAGAGTGGCTTAGTTGAAAATCGCAGGTTCTTTTGTTGATATTTTTAGGTGTGGGACTTGCAAAATTGTAACAGAGGCTATATAATAGGCAATCTATAGTCCTGCCATTTTTTATCTGCAGCTTGCCTCAAAAGCTATTAAGTTTTTACCTCCTTCAACATGTTTCAGTTTAGGAAAATGCAAACGTATCTAATTATTCTATCAGTTTAAAATAGTAAGTTGAAATGATTGTATGGCAGTGATTATATGATTAAAAGACAGGTTCCAATTCTGGAAAACCTAACGTTGTAGAATTGGATTTAAAAACATAAACCAGAACATTTAGAATTAAGTCCTACAGCATTTTTCACAATTGCATTTTTATTCTCAGATATATTGAATGATTTGTTTATTCCAAGTAAGGGAGCATGGCAGGTAATACAACTACTTGGAATAGGTGGAAAACCTCAAAGCCGTTGCCCCTTTGCTTTTGCTTCAGCAGTTGATTGGGAATATGATCTCCTACTAGCTCAATGGTCAATTCAAGGACCCTTGTTCTGTTGGTTCCATATCCCTGCTGGACTACAGGACAGAGTGGTGCCTGAAATCTGAAATCCTGAGTGACAATACTAAGTTGGATAGATCAAATTTAGGTTCAACATATAACTGTTTTCTAAGTACTTTGTGATTTTTGATGTCCTATGGCAAGGGTCTTCAAACTTCGCAAGTTTAAGACTTGTGGACTTCAACTCCCAGAATTCCTGAACTAACATGATTGGAGGAGGAATTCTGGGAGTTGAAGTCCACAAGTCTTAAAGCTGTCAAGTTTGAAGTCCCCTGTCCTATTGTATACTCACCCCCAATTTGACTCATTAGATCACAGTGTAATATAGATTTTGGGACTATAACTACCTTTTCTTTTGCCATTCTGGCTGAGATTGGTGAGAATGAAAATCTGGAAGGCACTTGTTGTATATCCTTTATAGCAATTTTCTTCTGGACATAAGTACAGGTCTTCAATAAAACTCTTTTTATGACCCTGTAATCCAGGGCTGTCAAACTCCCGGCCTGCGGTCATGCACTGGCCATGCCCATGCCCGGTTTAGCGAGGGAGGAAAAAGTCCTGATACATCATGTGATGCCACTGTAATGATGTGAGTTTGACACCCCTGCTGTAATCCCTTAATTCAGGATAGACTTGGGTCACTGAACCAACTGAGCATTTACTGTACGGATGCCTTTCTGATACTTAAATGGTGTTTGCATCAGATATTTTTAGGTTGTGCCCTAGGAGAGAAACATTTCCTGCTACCTAGGATTGAACTCTAAACCTTCTGAGTGAGAGATGAGCATCTTCACCACTAGGCCGTCATGCTGCTCAAATACAGTTCTTCAATATCAAGCAGAAAATATTACATGAAAAACAATTTTTATAGTTTTTAAATAACAAAACTAGACACTGTGTTTTTTCTAATTGAATAACATTAGTATCTAGATTAGATTTTAGATGCTTCCATGTCAGGAATCCTTCTCTCTGAACTCTTTAACATCTATTTATTTGCTTTGTAGGAGACAGAAAGTTCCTTCTAGTTTTGAATAATAATAATGCATTGTATTAAAGTTTATCAGTCCTGCTTAAAGTGTTCATGCCATTCTTCTAGATTAAGCCAGACTTTGGTAAAAGATGTAGCAATCCTTGCTCGAGAGATTCATGATGTTGCTGGAGATGGCGATTCCCAGAGCTCATCTGGAACAGGCCCAAGTACTGCCCACAGTTCTGTGCCTAATACCCCTGCTTCAACCATCTCGGCAAGAGAAGAGGTATGGAAGCTCTTCATTGACTAGATGTCCATCCTTATTCATAATAAAGCATTCAATTACTTTCATATGCAAACAAGGTTATCTCTATAGATGGTTATTCTGTGCTGAAGTGGTAAACTGCTTACAACATACCCGTGTTGCTAAGTAACAGAATTTGGTAATGAAACAACTGATTTTAGAATTTCATAAGGTATTTTGCAGTTTGTGGCAAAAAAATTGTCACCCTAAAACCCCACAACTTGGAAGAGAGGGTTTTTTTTTAGCGATGCTTGGATAAACCATTGTGTTAAACTTGTATAAAAAGCACAGCCAAGAAAAACATGACTCATGGATTCAAGTCATACGTGATCCATATGAACATTGTAATATTTTTGGAATGTGCCTTCCAGCATGGGTGAAGGGACAGCATTAAAAAAAGCACTGGAGAAGTTAATGCTCCATTGATAATTGGAGGAAGAGATTACAAAAATTTTGTAGGACTGTTCCTCTAAATTTTCCTCGGGATGGCAGACCTTTTGCATATTGAATGTGTCAGCTTGTTTTTTTTTAATGTGTTTAACCCATTCGTTGGCTTTATCCAAACCCAAAATTAAAATAAACCCAGAAGATCAACTGTATGTATTTAAATTACCATATGTGTTCACCATCAAGATCTAAAACTATCCCTTGTGATTATAGAAATGAGCCCAGTTGGGACCAGATTAACATTTAGGCATTTAAATGGAATTGATTGAGAGATTCTGCTTTCTATTCTGGAGAAATCTGCCTCTGTTCTCCTATCTCCAGCCTTGGGCAGTTGGTTGAAGAAGAGGACCTCCATGGTCTCTTCCAAGCCTATGATTCACTCCCAATACTGTCCACTGTCCAGAATGTTTGAAACCCAGACTGCACTTTGTATTATTGTTACTACTACTAATACAGTATTGCATTGTTACATTAGCCACAATGCTATTGCAAAATAGTTTGCTACCAATTTACCAGTTCTGTTGTAGGACATGCTCATGCTTTTCCCAAGATGTGCCACAGGGGGCAAGTTGGTTTTGTCATAGGACGGTTTTGCTCAGTGGTGGAGTTCAGCCAGTTTTCACCAGTTTGGGAGAACTGATTGCTAAGTTTCTGAGCAGTTTGGTGAACTGATTGTTGGAAGAAATCATTAGGGCAGAGAACCAGTTGTTAAATTATTTAAATCCCACCACTGGTTTTGCCAAATATCAGCTGCATTTATTTGTGTTTAAGGCTATGAGATCTAGGTTGCAAAAATTGAGATGACCACTAGATGGACGCAGAGAGTTATAGAAATCTTACGGTTCTCTGGTAGCACTAGATGCGATTGGAATTGTTATTTCTTCGATTTGATTTGGCCTTTTTGATTGTGCTATCCTGTACTTTGCATTTAATTCTTCTAATCTTATGGTCAGCACTGACTGCTCTGTATCCCTCCCTCCCTCTCTTCCTTTCTTTCAATACAGATTGCTCATTCATCTTTGCAGGCAGCAATTCCATATCAGGTGCATTTTCTTTCCCACTATGTTCTGCTTTAAAATCTTTTTGTGTTCTGTAAATATTTCTTTCTTTATTTCATTTTTTTCATTCTTTTCAGCTTTCTTACTTTTTCTTTTCCTTCTTTTGATCTTAAATTTTCTTTCACCAAGATTTAGAGCTGAACCCCCATATTTTTCCTCACCTACTTATATTCAAATAAACATCGAACTTAAAAAGTTGGTGCCTAAGGAATTACAGATAGTCCTTGACTTGTGACCGCAATTGAGCCCAGAATTACAGTTCTGAGTCATGCCAGTTGTGAAGCAGGTCATCATGTGACCGATGTGATTTCATGACATTTTTTGTGATGGTCATTAAGTAGGTGGCCATAAATCAAGCACCATGGTGGTTAAGTGAACACTGTGGTCGCTAAACAAACCCATTGTTCACCCATTGGTTTTTGCTGGAAACTAGAAGTATTAACTAGTGAGCTGCAGATAAGTGCAGCCCAATTGCTAAACGGCTAAAACGTGATCACCTGACCGGAGAGGTATGTGTGGCCTGGATGCTGCAATTTTGAACCCAGGTCATAAGTGCCTTTTGGGGTGTTCATTGTAAGTTTGAATGGTCATTAAGCGAGGACTACCCGTACTCAGTTGGGAATGATCATTTCTTCTCCCTAGAACTCATTACCTCCACATGACCCGCATACATTGGATAAAACCTTGTCACGGTATGGGCAAGTTCAGATGTCACACACTTATTGTGTTTGTTGAATGTGCAGAAGGGAAGGCATATCTGCTACCTTTGCCCTTCGGATGTTTATGCATTCAGAGAAGCCTTGTCTGAGCAACCTATCATACACAATTGCAACTGCATGCATATACAGGTTTATTCTTGCAATTGGGAATCCTGCCCTGTTTGTATTCCTTGTTTATATCTCGCAGGTTTCCAGTCAGTCTTCCAGGATTCTGAAGTTGGAAGAAGAGCCTCTAGGAATAGAACCATTGTAGGAGCTTTAGTAAAATTGCAAATATGTATTTCTAAAAAACTCCATAACTAAAAACTGTGGCCTTGCTAGGACTATGCACATGGAAATTTTAAGTGCATTTCATGTTCATGTTTCCTAAATAGCAAAAACAAAAACAAAACCCTTATCTAAAGGAAATTTTAATTGATAAAGTGACTAAGTCCATTGAATGTGGACTGTCTTCTACAGTTGTATAATTTTTAATGTAACATTTCATCTGATGCTACTTAGTGCTTTGAAAAGAGATTCTAATATTTTGGAATGATTGAATAGTACTAGTAATATGTATTATATTGAAAGCTGGTGAAAATGACACTCTTATATTGGATACTACAATATTCACTAAAGACGTGATATCATTTCTAGTGTGAATTTTGCCACCATTTTCAGGCAGTGATGTTGAGCTGTAGTAAGTAAACAAACTACTTGAGTCACTGGGTAAATTGTGCAATGCTTTATAGAAATGAAGGGGACAAACTCAACACCAGGTGTCATTTTTCAGTAGCTTCTCTGCATGTAATGTGTTGGTCCCACTTAGATGAAGAAGAAGACTGGTATTAGAAGATCACACCAAAGTTGCTTGTTATTTCCTTCTTATATTGTCAACTAGATAATTCAATTTAGCATTTATTTTTTATTCTTAAGCTGGTACAGCATATACCAGAAGCAAGTCTAAACTTCCAAAAGGTGCCTCCTGGTTCATTGGAATTCCGTGATTTTGACCAAAATATGAATGACAGCCGGGAGGAGGATATCACAAAAAGAACACGGATAAGAAACAGGGAAGAGGCAAGTGTATTTCCATTTCATGGAAGTATAGGAAATTAAATTCCTCCATGTCTTAAGATATGACCATATGAAACTACTTCTGAATGAGATCATCAGTTCCATGAATAACTGGGTGAAGGTTAGCAAAAATAATCATGTTAAAAATTCTGTCTTTGAAATTTGTTTTGGTGATTGTATTCCAGGTGATCTTTGACAATTTGATGCTAAACCCTGTTTCCCAGTTATCTCATACCATTCGGGAAAATACAGAAAATTTGGCAGAGAAAATGAAGTGAGTATATGGTGCCAATCTATATGGCTCTCTTATGTAACCACTTATGGAACCTGGAGACTAGCATTTCATACCAGAGTTAGCAAAATGACATTGATTAATACTGGTTCTCAATTTATAAGAGAATTGAAATGGGCATTTGTACCTTGGTTAGGATTATTAAGTTTTATATCATAATCTTGAACATGGCTCCTTGAATTCTTTGAACTTATTTCAAATAATCATGCTTGGAATTTATCCAATAAGATTTAAATATTAATAATTAACTTACTTTTTAAATCAATTAACTGACTGAATATGTTTTCAAATGGCCAGTATTTCAGTATAGATAATTCGGTATAGATAATTTGTAGCATTCAGGTATACTGAAGCGTAGGGTATAAAGATACACATATAAAAAGACTGTGGTTAAATTACTACTTTGGAAGTAACAACATTAATGTGTTTGTATCAGAATTCTGTTCCAGAATACTGAGAGGACATGGGAAGAAATGGAAGCCAAAATTAATTCTGAAAATGAAGTGCCAATTTTAAAGACATCAAACAAGGTGGGAAATCACTTTGTTAAATTATGTGCTTTGCAATCTTGCTATTAAAAATATGCATTGATGACATTGTTGGATTTATATATACAAACGTTTAAATTATGGAATGAATCTGAAAGACAAAAATAAAAATGTGGGATTAGTTTAGGATTTGGATTTTAATCTTATTTCTTTTGTATATTTTTACTTTTGAAGAAGCATGTAAGTAAACATATTCTACTGACAAGATTCACACTGTGGAACTCAGCACTTCAATTTTAATATAATATAATGAAAACTAAAAAGAGTTTTAAAATTGAAATCTAGTTGTAAATCTTTAAAGGTAAATTTAAAGAAAACATTTTGGTATATGCTGTTTAAAACAAGATTGATCAAGTACGAAACCAGGTATAAATTGGTTTAATTGAATTTTTTAAAATGTACATAACAGGCTTAGTTTGCTAAAGTTCATCAGTGTTTATTTTTTTTAATTTAGGAAATCAGCTCTATTTTGAAGGAGCTTCGCAGAGTCCAAAAACAACTTGAAGGTTTGTGGTACTTGCCTTCATAATTCTTTGTTTTTAATGTAAATGATTAGTTTAAATAGATATGATTAAGTTTTAAAAAGAGAAAGCTGGAGATGTTGCAACATGCCATGTGTCGGAGTGTAAAACAAGACTTACTTTGGTCTTCAGATAAAACAAAATGCCAAGCAACTTCAAGTGAGAATAATTATATATCTGCGCTCAAGAAGTTTCAACTGGTGTAGAACGCAAGCAGTTGCTTGGTGCATATGCCATTACTGCTTCATGAGCTGCACTGGTTGCCAGTATGCTTTTATCTACAATTCAGGATACTTCAATTCAATTCATCTTTAAAACCCTTCATGGCTTAGAACAGAACCCATTTACTAATGGGACCATCTGTCCTCAATTGTCTCTACCTGTCTAGCAGGAGTGGTATGCTCCATGTACTCTCAATTAAGGAGTATCCATAAGGCCTTTGAGATTTGGTTTTGTCCCCAACCCCAGGGCCCAAGGCATATGATAGAGCCTATCTCCAAGCTACTGTATATGGATACAGTAATTAGTTGGATGATGCCTAACTACTATGTATTTTATTTTTATATTGTGTATTTTATGTATTTTATTGTAAGCCACCTAGAGTCACATATATGAGAGGGGCAGCTATACAAATCAAAACAGTATAATTCAGTCTTTGCAAAGCAGCCATCACAGAATGAGCTTTCATAGCATTAAATTATCTGCCAGGAGATTATGCTTCTGAAATAGAAGCTGTTCACTGTCCATGTGCTCAGTTGCTCAGGTATCAAACATCAAGTGAAAAAGTACGGTGGGATTTAGTCAGAGGACTGATCATGCTTCTTTTTTCCCTTTTGGCAGTTATAAATGCCATCATCGACCCAAGCGGGAACTTGGATTTGCTCACCAACAACAAGACCTGTTCTGTGCTACAACCTGAAGCAGCTAAAGTCAGGACTGCCAACAACACTTCTGGATCTGTGTTGGAGTCTTTGTCACCTGTCAAGAAAATGAATTATACTCAGAAATCGAACTTTGGGTCTACTGGCCTGCAGGATAAAACATTTGTTCCAGCTGGGGAGAAATATGTGATCTGACAGAATATTTTCTATTGCTTATCTTGTAGTATGTCATTTACTGTGGCGTTTAGTATTGCATATGAGTTGTGTGTGAGTGGCTGTGGGCAAGTCCACGTGGAACAGTTGTTTAGATTGTTAGCACATTGCACAAAATGGGGGAAAAGGTACAATCTCTGCTATGTGGGCAGTTGAAGTCTGGGTGAAACCCTTTGTGAGGAAAAAAGGCTAATGGTGTGGAACAACAGATCCACAAGAGATTTTTTTTTAACAAAGCAATTCGGTGTGCCATTCTTCTATTGTGCCATAACAAAGCAGACCTTGCATATTGTTCATTCTCTATTGCTGAAGCTCTGATACGTTCTCAGATATAGCCTTTTCATAGCAATTGGTTGAGTTGTATATAGAATCCATTTTGAAAATACACTTTTTGAGACAGTGGATAGCTGGTGCTGTATAATTAATTTTAAATACGGAGTATTCAAATGGTTTGGTCAGGATTTATTTTTAATACTGTCAGGTAAAATGAGGCAACATAGCTTACTTTTACAAATTCAGGAGCAGTTGCCCGAAAAATGTCTTCGAGGAGGAAGCAAAGATGATATTGAATAATTTTGCTTCCAGTCATACAGCTTTCACTGTTCTACTGGTTAAAAGAGTGGAGACAAGAGAGCTGTGAATATTGCTGTATTGTTTTCTGTATGTGATTCATTTGAAAAATTCCAAATAAGTAGTTCTGTAGGAGAGGATTCAATGACCAAATCAGGATTTTGTATAGCCAGGTTGCCAAATTCTTACTGTATCATGTCAGTCTCCATATAACAAATGGTTTGTGTGCTCTGAATATTTTTTTCTTATTCTATCTAAAGAGGGGCATAAGAATAAATGTTCCACAACTGGGCAAGTAGTCAGAATGTCTCCCCAGCACTTTGGTAATAAGATTTACACATAGTCTTTTTAACCATGGCCTGTTAAATAAGCCAGAATATCTGAACTGACAGAAGACTCATCTATAAACCACAGTAGTAACATGATCACAACTTGCTAAGCCACCATGTGGCTTGTTTGATGTGGGTTTAGCATGATGCTTAAGCTTAAGCCCAAGAGTGGATACTTGTGCTTAACCCAATTATGTGGATCTCATTTTATGTAGATGAGCCACTTTGGAACATGCACAGCCTTGTGCAGTTTATGGCTTAGTAGAATTTTGGGTGGGGACAGTTTAAATGCATTCTTTAAAACTTTAAGCCAATATTCCTAGTTGTGTAAGTGTACATTGGGGAGGGAGAAGGGAAGAGGGGGGCTCTGCAAAGCTTAAGGCACAGGTAACAATTTTGCCTATAAATTGCACAGTAACACAATGTATTTCCAAATCATGGCTCAGGCTACTTTAGTGATGGCAGATATCATCTCCCTTTTGGAACACAGGCAGAGCAGAAAAATATAGTTTGGCTGCTAGGCAGAAAAAAAGTTGCTCATCCTGGCTTGTTGTGTAGTATGGATCTAAGCTAACCACAACTCAGCATGTGTATACTTGGTCTGAATCTCACTGACATTCACGCACTATTTAAAGAGCAGAAAGGTACAGGCCTTTTTTGTACCTCTAGGAAAACAGTTTTGAGCAGTAAAAAACAGACTTTCTCCATATCCTTCTAGTTTCAGGGTGCTGGGGGTGGATTTTCAACAAGGCATGCTCAACATGCCCCCATGAGATGATCCTCTCATGCTCAGTTTAGTATTAATGGGCATCCCACGGAAAATGGGAAAAGTATCATGTTGTATCAGTAGACCAGATTTTCTCAACCTTGACTGCTTGAAGGTGTGGTTGAAGCATTGACAGTTTGCAGCTTGAAGTTACTCTGACTGGAAAATTCACACATCTTCAGATTGCCAAAGTTGAGAAACCCTGCAGTAGATGTTATGCTGAACTTTTAGTTCTAGCAAAGAATGGATTTCTCTGACCTCCAGAGCTGGTCATACCATATCCCTTTCCACTCCAAATTATAAGATGCGGACTATCAAAAAGTTGCCACAAAAAATAGTGATATTGTAGCTGTTGCCTTAAAATTGCTCAAATGAATGTAGATCTTGGGATATATCTTGGAAATTATACAACACAGTTTTAGTTTAATGTAGTTTCTAGGAGAATGTAAATAAACTAATTTGCTCCAATATTCAGTGTTATCCAACATCCCTGTGCTGGGAATTTGAGCACCTAAGAATAAAAAGCATGAATTAAAATTTACCTCCTCCATTGTCTAGCCACAAAACAATTTCTAATATTGGTGCCACCCTTTCTTGAATCTCGATGCTAAAACTTGTTTGGCTGATGATGTGTCAAGTGAGTAGTGCAGTATTATAATTGTTTTATGACTGGCCATTATAAACTTAATACCAATATCAAGAATAACTTTGCAAACATTTTTAAACACCCATTTTTCCAATTAAAATGAATTGTCCACTTGTCAAATCAGCAATGGTTTAAAGAACAGCACTGTTATCTATTTGAAGTGCTTATTGATATCAGTTGACACAGGGAAATCTTTTATAACATTCACTTCATTTTTAAATAATCATTGAAGACCACCAGATTAAATACAGTTGAGAAGTGAATTCAGTTAAGAAATGAATGCAGTGCATAATTTTATCAGGGAAAAATGGAGAACTATTGTATTGACAGTAATTTATTCAGGTCTGGAAATGATGGATAGTGTGGATATATCCTACAGAGCAGCGGTCCCCAACCTTGGCCTGGTGGGGAGAGGGGAACCAGGTTGTGTGAGTGGTAGGCTGGCACACAGCTCAACTTGCATGAGCGGTGGGCCGGCGCACACCCACATGCGCATACAGCTTGAGCAAGTTGAGCTGCGTGCACGGGTGTATATGCACTGACCCACTGCTCTCACAAGTCGAGAGTGTGCACTTGTGCACCAGCCTGCTACTTGTGCAGTCCGCTTATGAATAGGTCATGGACCGGTAGTGGGTGCAGCCTGGGAGTTGGGGACCCCTGCTATGGAGAACATGTTTAAAATGTTAAATTCTAGAAGTAAAATTCTTTTGGAAAATGAATAAAAAATTCAATTTAGTTACTCAGAGGAAATCTTTGGTATCCAGTTGGATTTTACTTGATTGTGCACGGGTTTAAATAATGTAAATGCTGCTATTGATATTGAGGCACCAAATAAAAGTTGCCAGTACTTTTCCCATTAGAAACGGATCCAGTTACAGATTCATTTATACAGCTTCTGTTTAATTGTACCTAATGGTCCCTTGTAAACTTGTCTCTGAGTCATAGAGATGTCACATGTCAATTCTTGCTTCTCATCAAATTTTTCCACCATCTCTTAAGAACCCAAACCTTGAAAATACATCAAAAATCTTCACCTCAATTATTGATGTCACACTAGTCCATTTTTGCCAGCACCAAGTCTACATTAATTATCTTCCAAATATACTGTTGCAGAAAGAGGGACTGAGTTTTGAGTAAGCTTAGAAAAAGCTTAGAATAAACCCTAGAAAAGCAGTTTTAAATTTATGTCATCTTCTCAGTCAACTTTCCCCAATAGAATGAATTGCAAATGCATATAATTCTCAAAGTTCCCAGGCAACATGTATTTGGGGACTTCTAGAAAATGCAAGCTTAACACATGAGGAAGGATGTTCACATCTGTGTATACGTTTCATAAATATTCAAGCCTAAGGTGAGATGTTTGTCCTACTCCAGTGCTACATCTATGTGTTAACATCTAGAAGACATGGACATAGAAGTCTGGTTTGCTCACAGGTAGCAAAAAAGACTTGGGCTTAACCTACACATAAAATTAAAAATTGAAACAAACTAAGGTTATACAGTTAATATGTTACAAATAGATTGCATATTACTTCTGATACACTTAAGTCAAAGAAGACGCCATGTGGCTTTGATATTCTCATATTGGATCCCTCTAGTGCAATATGCATACAACCCGTTAAACATTTAATCCCAGTATGTGGGTACAATCTAGGTGCCATTTATTTGATTTTCTAGTTAGCAGAAAGTCAAATAAACGGGACCTACTTGTTGATACACAGTTTTTTTATTTAATTAAAACTTTTATATTTGACTAGACAGTTTCAAAGGATTAGAAAGCCCAGATCATTTGAAGTTCAGTGACAACTGTTTGATTTCTTCAGAGTAACTTAAATTTTTTTTGAGAGGGGGAGAAAACAGCTTATCCCCCTTAGGTTAAAATGATTGATCACGATTGAATGAACATGATTCATTGAGATAATGTTTATCTGTTTGAAAAGAATGCTGTCATTCTCATGCTGGTGGTAATACTACCATATAGTCTGAGTGTGTGCAGTAACATAAATGTGCTAAATAAATAAATACATATGTAAAAACACTGAAAGCAGTTAATGGGAGCAGTTTTTGCCCATCACAAACTTTTTTTATAGATTTCAAACAGGTGTGTGTATGTAGGATTCTGCATGTTTGCCAATACGGATAGTCCTTGCTTTACCTCAATCAAGACCGGCAACTCTTGCTATGCCGCACAATTAAGTAAGACATCATGACTACAATTTATAATTTCACACCAGCTTCTTCATTGACTCTGCTTGTTGGAAGTTAGCTGTGAATCATGTAAATGGAAATCACATGACTGGGATGCTTCACTATCATAAATTCAAAGACTGTCCATAAAGTTACTTTTTCAGTGCTGTTGTAACTGCTAAATAATTGCTAAACAAGGCAGTTGTTAAATGAGGACTATCTCTATGGCTGGGTTCAATTCAAATTAGAAAAAATTTCAGAGGCAAGTTTTCAAGAATGACCAGCTATGTACGTTAGCAGAAGGGATAACTTTTCATTCCATCAGAGAGAAATGGATTAGGTAAGTGTTTTTCTACATCACATGAAAGCAACCCAGTACAACCTGTGTACCCAGGAAGGCTTTGAAACCAATTGGAAATTTTAAATCTCCTTACATGATATCTTAGACTTTAAATGCGCACTTCAGTTTAAGGTAATGAGTGTCTTAAATATATACATTTTAAAAACCTAATGTGTGTATGTCCCCAAGTCATCCTTACATGAATCAAAGGAAATGTTTGCTCTGAATGTTTACAGATACCTACTTTTGAAAGAAGTGGGAGTGTAAGTTGATACTGATAATTCACTTTTGTAAATGCCTTCCTTCCTTCCTTCCTTCCTTCCTTCCTTCCTTCCTTCCTTCCTTCCTTCCTTCCTTCCTTCCTTCCTTCCTCAAATGAATTCCTGATCTTGCCATTGTCAAAGTCCAGAAAACTACTTGTTCACTTTCTGTTCTGTCTCCTGCTCAGTGGTGCCTGAGCATCTGCTGATTGTTACTCTGCTGAAACTGTTTTCCACTGTTAAAAACATTTTTTCACAGCTATCATTGTACTAGATCTGCATGCCACACTGAAGCAAGCTGAGCTGTATGAGAGTTACTGAAATTCAGTTTTGTGTAACTCAAAACTGTTTCAATGACCTCCATTTTTGGTTCATCTTTTACTTCATTTTGATGTCCTCTGAAATACTGTGCATAATTATAAGATCCACCTGATTCCTGCAGACCTTCAGTTTGCTTTTTTCTCTTTGTCTTAGTTTTTTTTAAAAAAACAAAACAGTAATTTATTTTGCTTGACAGGCAGTTTATCTGTACCATTTTGTCTCTGAATAATGTGGATGTCTTTCAAACCAAAATAAATGGTTATTTTATATAATTTTATCACAAATTTGCTATAATAAATCATTCTCATACTAGGTTCAATAAAAGTTAGAGGCCTGAGCTAATCTCTTTAGAGGCTTTGGGTTGGGAAAGATAAGAAATACACACCTGTTTGAATCTATAGGAACAGAGTTTATTTTTAAGGTTCCAGATCTCTTTCTGACTATAAAATGCTGGGGAGCAAGGGAAAGAAGGAATAAATCCATAGCAAGCAAAAGAAGGATTGGAGAATTGCTGCTGCTCTTGTCTTCCACCATTCACTCATCTGATGCAAATAAGCTTGGAGTAAACATTTTTAGGTAGCCAAAACAGCATCATCAGTATGGAAGAAGGAAAAAATAATAGAAACATGGTAGAAAGAATTTCAAGACTCCTCCACAAAAAAAGAGGGACCCCCCCCCCCAGCTTTATATGATATATAGAAGCACAACAGTGCATATTAAATGAAATAAAATGGGACAATATCAGAGAGAAAAAAACATTGGTGGGTGCTATTGAATAAGACTACTACATGCTGCAGAATTTAGTTTTCAGGCTTCATTGGGTGGTCATTGTTGCCTTTTTCCTCACTTTAGTCTCTTCATCTCTAGCAGTCTCCTTGAACTTTCATTGAATTTCAAAATTCTAGATTACTGCCTTCCTTTCTCTGTCTGCAGCAGTGGTGTAGGGTCTTTGTGAAAGTGAGGTGCAAGATCAGTAGGGAAAGTCATATTCCGCTAGGTCAGATCTAGATATTTTATGGCCCTTTGGCTCTCCCTGTCTGTCTCCCTCCCTGCCTGGCTTGAGGTAAATTGGAAGATAGAAAATAAAATGTGACTAAGTGAGCTGCAGAGAGTGGGAGAAGCATCTAAGAGACTCCTTTAGTCTAGCAAGAGAAAGCTTTTCTGCACCTGCAGCAGAAGAGCAGCAGTCAGGCTGAGGCAAAGGCAGGCAAGGCTCTGGGCTCCTTCCTCCATCAATATGTGGGTGGCCCCGGTGGCAGAATTAAATTCAGCCTATTGGTTTGGTTCTCCACAACAGTCCCAGCTTCTCATGCAGCTCCTTTGAAGAATTAATTGCCCACCCCTGTGCCAGGTAGAAAATTAATCAACAAATGGCAGAGGTACCCTTTCAGCACAAAAAAGTTGGCATGAAATCTGTGTGGACTGCTGTCCCACACACAAGCAGAGTTTTTCCTCCACTCAAAAGCAAACTAAAGAAGACAGCAAGACAAAATTGCTTAACTGCAGGCATGTAACTTTTTTGCTGAACAGGCCTGGTATGTATCAGAACAGCGTTAATCTCTAGCTTTCATTATTATCTAATAATGATTACTTCCTCCTTGTAAAGGGGAAATTCAATCAATGGTCCATATGGGTGGGAAATAGTTTAATGTATTTGTAAAATCAGCCTTTCGACAGGTGCCGAGAGATCTGGTTTGATCTATAGGCCCTGTAGAGGCTTGAGATGGGGCCTAATTTCCAAAATGGTCAGTATTTTTAAAATTACTGTATGATAATGGGCCATTGAGGACTCTTCAGATGGCCTGGATTAGGAAATGGGAGGCCCTCATTATGGAACAAAGAAGACTGCAGATTCAGCCCCAAATTCTATACTTACGAATGTATCTTTTTGTACACCTTGAGAAAGAAACTTGTAATTAGGATTTTGGAAGTCTCTCTGTTGGTAAGTAAAGATACAGCAGGAAAAAGCTGTGTGTTATAAATCTTTGTACCCACCCAACCCACTGCCACAGCTGTCCTTAGTTTTATTTATTTATTTATTTTAAAAAAGGGCAGTTAGTATTTGAAAGCGAAGCGCTAGCTTCTAGCATAAATGTTGTTTAAAAAATGGGTCTAATAGTCATTGTTACAAAATCATGACTGCAGCCCAGGTTTTTGTTTAGAAGACTGCAGGGTGCTTACCTAAATTGAAAATGGGGGTGTAAAATTGATAAAAATATAAAGGCATGGTAAGAAGAAGTGATTAGGAAGAACTTCAGCTGTTTGTTTTTGGATAAATCAGTGTTTTACAATTGACCAAACTTGCCATGCCAGTCACTTTGAGAACAGTTTCACCTCTGTGAAACATTATTTTGTGAGATTGTTTTGTAAGTTGAGGACTAGGGGAATATCAACAAGGATTTATTTTCCCAGCAGCTGGTAAGCCTCCTCCTCCTCCTCCTCCTTCCCCTTCCCCTTCCCCTTCCCTGTCCCCTTCTCCTTCTCCTTCTCCTTCCCCTTCCCCTTCCCCTTCTCCTTCTCCTTCTTCTTTTTTGACAAATGCTTCCCAGGGGGATAATTAATCCTTGCCTGGCAGGTTAAAAGCTGATTTTTCACACTCTTATTTAAAAAAAAACACCACCTCAGATTTAAAGCCAGGGTCCAGGAATCCTGTCTTGAGCAGCTTCCCTTTCAGCTGCCTGGAGAGGAAAAAGCTGCCTAGTGAAAAGAAGCTGCCTGATCTCGGGAGAGGGAAGCCGATGCGGGGAACAAACAAAGCTGTGGTTTTGTGGCAACTGCCAACTGCAAGCTTAGAAGCTACCCAACTGTAGGTGAGTGTCTCCCCCAGCTCCTTATAGATCAGCAGTGCATTTTTCAGTGGGAGAAAGGAGCGGGTAAATGGCTCAGAGATTTACTGTGGACAACTTAAAAAGTGAAGACTCCAGAATATGGCTAAATTCGTCATCATATTTATCTGTGAAACATGGCTCAATGCATCTCTCCCTGACTCCATTACCTCAGTAAGAGATTATCATGTTTACTGATCAGCTTGTGAAATCCGTAGAGGAGGTGGTGTTGCTATCGTCTATAAAAAGTCCTTATATCTAAAAAACATCCAAGTTACCCAAGAGCTTGCTCTTCCTGAGACCATCGTCTGTGAACTGTCCTTAAATATCACATTTCAATTCTTACTATGTTACAGAGCCCCTGATTATGACATTGAACATGTCGAACAAGCTAAATTCACTACTAACATGGGCAACAACCTCCCATACACTTTTATCTTTCTTGGTGACTTCAATCTACCTCACATTAACTGGACCCAAAACGAATGTAAAACATACATGCAACTTTCTACAATGCTGTAACAAACCTGGGACTGGAACAACTAGTAACCAACAATATTAGACTTAACAACTGCCTTGATCTCATCTTCTGCAATAGTTTGAATTCAATTTATGGAATACAAATTAAAGAACCCTTTTCCAACAGTGACCACAGCATGATTGACTTTTGTCTCAACATACATCCACACAAAAATCAACACAATGATGTGATCCCCAATTATAACTTCAAAAAAGGCAACTATGATCTTATAGACAACGATCTCTCATCCCTTGATTGGCAATTTCTATTCACTGGATGCAATACTGTTGAAGACCATTACAAAATATTTTTACTTGAAGTCAAAAGAGTCATCAAACTATATGTACCAATAACAACTCCCAAAACCAGAAAAAACAGATTACCCATAACAATAAGGAAGCTTCAATCCAAAAAGAGATCACTTTGGCGGAAAAATAAATCTGGTCACGTTGCCAACTTCAAAAGCCAATACAAAAATTTATGCCACCAGATAAAGAGTAAATGCACCAATTATCACATTAAACAAGAAAAAAACCTACGCAGCAATTCCACACGCACTTTCTACAATTTTGTAAACAACAAACTAAAAGACTCAAGGTGCATCCCACCCCTGAAAGGACCTAATGGTAAAGATTGCAACGACGACACTATTAAAGCCAACCTCTTTAACACATTCTTTGGCTCAGTATTTGTAAACAGCAATGGATCATACCCAGTATTTCCTAGTCGAACCACAGACAACTACAATGATCTAATACATATCGATTTTACAGTGTTGACAATGTTGAAAAAGCACTACACAATCTAAAACCATCTCCATCTATTGGACCGGACGGAATATGTGCCTACTTCTTAAAAAAGTTACCCACTGCCATAGCCGAACCTCTAAGCATAATCTTTGAAAAATCTTTCAGGACCAGCTCCTTGCCATGGTCACAAGCCACGATCATTCCCATCTTCAAAAAGGGAGACCCCAGCCTAGTTGAAAATTACAGACCAATCTCCTTATGCTGCGTCACCTGTAAAGTCATGGAATCAATTATTAACCAATCCATTATCCTCCACTTAGAAACAAACAACCTACTCTAATAAACCATTTGGTTTCAGAAAAAAACTATCCTGCAATCTGCAACTCTTACACTGCAAAAACATATGGTCTACACAACTCGATCAGGGCAAAGCAATAGATGCAATCTACATAGACTTCTGTAAAGCCTTTGATTCAGTGGTACACTGAACTAAAACTAAAATCTTATGGTATCTCTGGACACCTGCATAACTGAATAGAAGCATTCCTCTCAAAAAGACAACAAATGGTCAAAATTGGGAGCGTCCTATCGAATTCTGTACCTGTCAACAGTGGTGTCCCCCAAGGCAGTATTCTAGGACCAACTCTCTTTATACTCTACGTAAATGACCTCTGTGATCATATTAAGAGCAACTGCGTTCTCTTCGCTGATGATGTAAAGCTATTCAACACCACAGACAATACTGCTACCCTTCAAAAAGACCTCAACTATGTATCAGAATGCTCAAACAAATGGCAACTTCAAATCTCAACAAATAAATGCTCTGTCTTACATATTGGCAAAAAAAATCAGAAAATAAAATACAGGGTGAATAGTCAAGACCTTGTTGATGATCCAAACTCTGTCAAGGATCTTGGAGTACTCATCTCTAATGATCTAAGTGGTAGACCCCACTGTAACTACATAGCCAAAAAAGCATTAAGAGTTGTTAACCTAATCTTACGTAGCTTTTTCTCTGGTAATATTACACTACTAACTAGAGCATACAAAACATTTGCTAGA